AAAAAAAAAAAAAAAAGATAAACTATTTCCTAGGAGCTAGGGGTACCTCAGGGATAGAGTGCCTGCCTGCCTAGCTTACACAAAGTCCTGGGTTTGAGCCCCAATACCACACGCACAAATTCTCTAGATATAAGTGGGGTAGGGTACACTGTGATTGGTAGGTCACTCCACTTTTCTTTCCAAGACTGTGTTAAACTGATGATACATGCCTTTGTGGAAGGCTGCTTTAAGGCTCATGTTTTAGATGCAAAGAAACTCAGCTGCCATCCATTCAGAAAGAACCGGCCCTCTTCAGGGCCTGTAAGCCACTAAAAGTTAACACAATACAGAGGTTTCTTCTGGCCTCATGAAAAGTGACCAACTCAGCTAAGGCCATCAGTCAGTCCTCTGCTTCTCACTGGCGCCCCCATGCCCCATGCCCCAAGCCCTTTATCATGAGCCCCTGAGCTCAGCCTCTCTAGGAGGAAGTGATTTTGTGCCTTCATTCAGACCACTGAACCATGGATGACTGGATGGTAGATGCACCTGTGTCTCCAACTTCTGCACAGTCCTCAAAGCCATCAGGCTGCCCTGAGCCTCACCTGGGGAACAAGATGTGGAGCTAGATGGAAAGGTCTTGCTACTTCGAAGGGCAGACTGGTTTCGAGGACAGCGAGGGCTCCGGGAGCTGATGGTTACCACCTTCCCTGGGGGAGTTGCTGACTGCTCCTCTTGGGCAGGCCTCACTGAGGCATTTGCTTCTGGAGTCTGAATAGAAATGGTCAAGAAATGTGTAAATTTACCAGGCATGGTGGTGCATACCTATAATTCTGGCACTGTGGGAGGCTGAGGCAGAAGGATCACAAGTTCAACTCACCTGGACAAATACTGACTTAGTGAGACCCTGCCTCAATATTAAAAAAAAAAAAAAAAAAAATTAAAAATATCTGGGGATCTAGTTCATTGCAAAGTCCTGGTTCATTCTACAGTACCTGGGCAACTGAAGGGATAACATTAGCATGAGAAAACCAGCTTTGACACAAGCACTCCGAATTGGGGGTATGAGAATGATTAAGAATTTGGAAGCTGGCTTGGCCTGATTTCCATGATAGCAAACATCAGGGGTCAACAACACACGACCTTGGCATTGCCCAAAGTTACTCAGCAATTTTGCCAATTTTAAAACTTACCAGATGAAACAAAGTAAAGCAGCCAGTAAGTAATGAAAGCAACCTCTACCTTTCTCAGGAGAGCCCCTGTGTATCTCCACTACTTGGACATAACTGTGATGACCAGCGGGACAGTCTGACACATAATCAAGGAATAGGGCCCAACAAGCCTGGGTTTCACTTACTCTGAGCAGGGCACAAACTGCAGAGAGGAGGCTATGAATGACAAACTGACAATACCTTGCTTTTTAAAAAACTACAGTAAGAAGCCAGTGTAAGATAATTACAGTAGCCTCTTCTGTCAAGAGTCCAGAGGGAGGAGAAACAGGTTTACTCCAGAGAGGAAAACAGAGCACACGAGCATTTTGCTAAGTCAAAGACTCACCCTCACAAATGTTAAGAGAACCCTGCAGAGACCGCTTTGGAGTTTTAGGGTCTTGCAGAGCTGCTCCACCCTGTAACTCCACCTATTTTTCCCCTGGTGCCTTTACCACTCCTGGGAAAACTTGGTCAAATGTTCCAACTCTCAGCTCTTCGCCTCCTCTGTCCTCAGCACCCAGCACTGAGGCCCTGCCTTGCGTCACCTTACCTCTGTATGCTGAAACTCTGTCCTAACCATGTGCAGCTCACAGATTTCTCAGGAGCTCACAGTCAGTGGGCCATACCCTAGAACCTGCATTTCTAACCAGTTTTAGTTGACACTGAGGTTCCTGGCATCAACCCACTCCGGGCACCTCAGTTGAGCTTCCTGCTCACCATTATCCATAATACTGTGCCAACGTGCCCTGCCAGGACTCCTAAGTGTTCCAGATCTTCCACTGCTGCCCCTAGGGCACATCAGCCATGCCACATCTCTCCACAAAAAGCTGCCCTTGAAAAAGTCACAGTTCACTCACCTCAACAGCCCTACAACCTGGCCAGTTTAAGGGTCATCTTACACTACTAAAGTGTGGTCACCATCACCACTATATGCCTGGCCTTAGGGGTTCCTTTGCTTTGAGGCTCGTCACACTTTCCTTGGGATTCCTGTGAAGCAGAGCCAAGTCCACTCACCAGCTTAGGGTTGACCTCCGTGGAGATGAGCTTCAGGAGGCAGCTCAGGAGGCGCTGCTCATGGAGGGTGGTGGGTGGGGAGCCAGGGCGGGGGGCCTGGCCCTGCCCTCCAGGGGACTGGCCCTCAGGGCCTAACACAGCCAGCCAGTCATATTCGAGTTGCAGCTTGCTTGGCTTGCCCATCATGAGGTAGACTTCGGCCAGCGTAAGGCTTTCAGAGGTCTGCAGGCTCCAGCCCTCCTCACGTAGCTGCTGAGCCAACCGGCTGGCAGGGATCTCCTTTGGGGGCCTGGAAGTAGACTGTCCCTGAGGTGGCAGAGGCTCTAAGGGGCTCCCTTTCTCCTGGGGCTCCTCTGAAGGTGTGTCTGCTGGCTCTTTAGTGCAAACATCCAGTAGGAGTCTGGGGCCAGGGCCACACTGAGGATCTGGGCCAGAGGCAACAAGGTTGGCAGCCTCCTTGCCACTGGAGGCAAGAGTCTCTGGGGAGGTAGCTCTGCCCAGAGAAGGCTGCTCACTCCTGGGCCGAGCATCCGCACAGCGGCACTGCTCAGGGATGATGAGGTCCTGACAGGACTTCAGGTAACGGGGTAAGGGGTCGAGGAGTGACAGCTCGTCCTCCAGGTCTGAGAGCTGGCCGCAGGCACACAGCAGGGACCCTGGTTCTCGAGCAGGACCATCCCCACCCTCTGTAGGAGGCGCTGCAGGGATCTTCTCGAGATGCAGCAGGGAGTCCTGGTGCCCTGGGGAAGGCCTGTCGGGAGCATCCGGGCTGCTCAGACTAGGGGTGGCCCCCTCCCCAGGGGCACTCTCGGGGGAACTCTCTCCAGAGCTCTGTGAAGTGTCAGTGGTGGGAGGGGGCCGCCCCCCACCCTTGCCCTCAGTGCTGCCCCTTGGGCACTTCACCTGGCCCCGGGCTGTGCCCTGCCCACTCTGGATACCCAGGATTTGGGCCGGAGGCAGCGAATGGGTGTCCTTGGCACTCTGCTTGCAACGGCCACCCTCCTGCCAGTGCACTGTGCAGAAGGCCTTGGAGTGCACCACACGGGCCACACCAGGCAGCGGAGTCAGTGTGCAGTTCTCTCCTGGGAATAGATGCAGTGTCACCTTCTCCTGCATCTGAGCAGGGTTCATACCCTGCAGCTGCCCCTCTTCGAGGGTCTTCCGCTGGGTGCACTGTCAAGGAATAATCCCCACCATCTGTACCCTGGTCAAAACAGTCAGAGGCAATGGGCTGTAGACCTATTCCATATGGTTGAGCCCTCAATAGGATCCATACCTACCTTTTGGCATCACTGGGGCTCAGATGTGCCCTGATTCCTGACCTTGGGACTTCCCTTAAGCCACAAACAAAAAATGCCAGCCCAACAGTCAGCCAAGAAAACAAAGGTGTCTGGGCTATGCCTGGGTCATATGACACAATCTGCTAGCAGGGTGATCTGGCCACACCCCATAGGTTATGAAGACCTGCCCATGGCTGAGTTTTACCACTGCAAGGTCAGAGGTGGCACTCCACACCAAAATCCAGGGGCAAAGGACTTCCACAGGACTTCATAACAATGACAAGGACTCAAAAGCGAGACACTTCTCAAGAAGGAGCAGCTACAGAGTTTGGAAGGTTTGCTTTAGCCAGAAAAAGATACAATTCGCACTTCATGGAGTGCCCACTTCTGTTTCAAGAACTCAATGAGACTGGAGACCTTTCTATGCAGCTCCACGATCATCCTATGGAGTGACAGAGAGGAAGCTATTAAAAAGGTGTAAGAGTCCTGGGATGATGAGCCATGGCTGCCCACACAAAGGACATGTGGCAAAGAGAAGTAGGGCCTCAGACGAGGCACCAGGGAGGTCCACCAACAGGAACTCAGCTGCTTTTCCTAAAAAATAGCACTGTCTGTTAAAATCACAACAGATTCACATGAAGCTACCAGAAATAACACAGAAAGGACAAGGTATGGTGGTGACACATGCCTGTAATCTCAGCACCCGATAGGATGAAGCAAGAGGACTACTGAGTTTGAGGCCTTAGTGAGTCCAGGGCCAGCCTGAACTACATAATTAACGAAGCTACCAGAAATAACACAGAAAGGACAAGGTATGGTGGTGACACATGCCTGTAATCTCAGGACCCGATAGGATGAAAGCAAGAGGACTACTGAGTTTGAGGCCTTAGTGAGTCCAGGGCCAGCCTGAACTACATAATTACACCATTAAAAAAAAGAAGTAACACAGTGATCCATGTACCCCTTCACCAGCATGAGAACTCAGCCAGGATATGAATGTTGGTCCCGCCACCACTAATCTCTTAGTGTCTTATGCTGTGTTTGATTCTGTTGATATGGAATGTATAGAACAGGCAAATCCACCGAGACAGAAAGTAGACTGGGCCTAGCGGGGAGTGAGCATTAGGGAGCGATTGCTAACAGCACAGTATAAAATAGAGAAGACTGCACAACATTATAAACACAACAAATGCTGCTGAACTGTGTAAAACTTTCAGGTGACTATGGTTCATTTTAGGCTGTGTAAACTTTTCCTCATTTAAAAAAATGTGTAAATGGAAAATGGTAGTTTTGCCCCATGCATAAATTAGACACAAATCTTTGCAGAGTTGGAGAGATAGGAATGCTGGAGGTTCATGGGTCTATAGTCACTCAACCTTATCACGACACCATCTCACAGCTGCCATATGCTGTCCAAGACCCCTGCTTAGGTGTAAAGCTGCAGCTTAGTGCTTCAAGGCCCAACAGTTACTTTGATCACCCCTATAACAGTGCCATCTTCAGACCTTGTTCTCACTGGACATGGTGCACACTTGTAATCCTAGCACTCAGGAGGCTGAGGCAGGAGAATCACTGAGAGTTCAAGGCTGGTCTGGGCTACATAGTGAGTTCAAGGCCAGCCTGAACTACATAGCAAGACCCTGTCTCAAAACACAACAAAAACAACAAAATGCAAAACAGACCCTGTATGTCCTCTGGTGATGTCAGAGGTCTGGGCTAAGACTGGCTTCTTACCAGAAACTTCCTCAGGCAAATGCAAATACAAATACTGCAGGGTGTATGTCACCCTCCCCACTCCCTTCCCCAGAAGGCTATATCACCTGAGTCGTGGGTTCTGGGCAAGGCTCTGCACTCGGGCCCAAGCATGGTTGTTCCGTGGCTGTAGCTCTACAGGGACTTTCAAGGGCAGGCGCACTGGCTTTTGGTCCTCTTCATCACTCAGGCCTGCAAAATGAGAGACCATGAACAGTCTAGCACAGATTAAACTTGGGGCAGAAAGCAAAGTACTTCACTGAAAACCAACAGGATGAAAGAGGTGCAGGCATGCTGTCTTGTGACTAGACACAAAGACATGAGAAAACCCACAGCTAGGGAAACACTCAACGTGGTCACTTGTACATTTGCCAAAACAGAGCCATGGAACAACCAGAGAGGCTATGAGACCCATTCCCACAGGGAGATTAAACTTGGGGCAGAAAGCAAAGTACTTCACTGAAAACCAACAGGATGAAAGAGGTGCAGGCATGCTGTCTTGTGACTAGACACAAAGACATGAGAAAACCCACAGCTAGGGAAACACTCAACGTGGTCACTTGTACATTTGCCAAAACAGAGCCATGGAACAACCAGAGAGGCTATGAGACCCATTCCCACAGGGCTGACCCATCTATCAGAGTATTGACCCATCTATCAGAATGCTGCATGGCATCTGAGCTAAGCTTGACTCACTGAACGGACATGAGCCTTCAAATTCAACGACTGTTTATTCACATAACTGGGATGAAGCATGGCTAGGCAGAAAGCAACTGCAACAGCTCAGCTATCCACCATGAAATGGGACAAAACCACTACATGAGCTACACACCATGTCAGCCTTTCCCTTGGTTACCTACCATCGGGATCGCAGAGTTTCTTTAGTGCACGACACATGGGTGCTTTGATCCGCAGGTTTCTCCCTTTGTAACGTACTGTGGTAGCCCTGAGAAAAGAGTTTGGAAGAGATGCTGAGGTCTCTGAATGGTGAAAGTGAGGAAAGGCCAGTGTATCTGAGACAGAGCAAGTGAGAGCAAGAGAAGCCCAGGCAAGTGCCAGCCCCAAGCAGGTTCCCACACTGTCCCAGGATATAGTCACCCTGGATGGTAGGCAACACTATGCCTCTAGATGTCTGATACTTCCCCAACCAGAGGACGACTGCTGTTTACAGAAAATGCATCATCTCCTCTCAATCCAATAAGTTATGTGGCACAAGCTGCTGCTCCATCCCTTTAGCTACCACTCTAAAGCTGGGCAGACAGCTGCCTTTCTTTCCACCAGCTCCATTTCCATGCATTTCTACTACTTGGAACCTCAGAACAGAAGCTATCAAGTTACCATACACGACCTCTATGTGAGTTCTCAGTCTACCTCTATATAACCTCTATGTGATCTTTTTTTCCCAGTGCCAAGAATTGAACTCAGGACCTTGTGTTTGCTGGGCAAGTGCAGCACCACTAAACTAAATCGCCAGCCTTTCTATGTGATCTCTTCATGACCACCTCACCACATCAATGTTGTACCCTATTTCTCAGGCAGACAGAGTACCAGTGGCCACAGTGGGATGTTACAGGGTCATGTTTGGAGACTTGAGGCTCCAAATCTGTCTGTCCGAGGTGTGGTGGATGAATTACTATGTGGATACTGAAATGAATGTGAAAGCAATTAGAACAGTTCCTTCTAAAAAACAGAGCTGAAATGATTTTGAAATGGTCAACAAATAGGCCACAAGAGATTCAACAAAGGTAGGTCTTTTCAGGTATGATGGCACATGCCTGTAATCCCAGCACTCAGACCCCGAGGTAGGACTGCAAGTTTGAGGCCAGCATTTCTAGTGAGTTCAAGGCCAGCCTGAACTACAAAGGCAGATTTTGTCTCAAAATAAACATGATCTTTTTGAAAAGTAACAGCAAAATGAGGTATGGGGAAGATGGCTAAGACTGGGTCTGATCAGACTCTGAAGCCTTGCTACTCTGGGCCCTGTCCTGCTCACTTTAAAACTGAGAAGCAAAACTGGATTTACCTTGACTGGAGTTTCTGACCTGAGAACAACATGAAACCCCAAGGTATGGATCTCCACAGAAGAAAAGGCTTTGGTGGTGGAGTAATGTGGATTTGCATTTTACAAAATACAGTATGTATGCCTACTATAGCTTTCTGCTTCAGCCAAGTTTTCTGACTGACCTATTCCCAGTTGTGATCATGTCTATTAAGACAGCTTCTTCTATATTTGTTCAATTTCTGTAAAAACTCTGTTAAAAAATTAATAGCACAGGGCCGGGGATTTAGCTCAGCGGTTACTGGTGGCCTGCCTTGCAAGCGCAAGGACCTGAGTTCAATCCCCGGTACCAAAAAAATAAATAAATAAAAAATAATAGCACATATACTAGCAGAGTATGATTCTAAAGATATGCAAAAATTTCATATTACATCTCTACAGTTTTATATTTGTAGCTGTGTAATTATAAATGAAAATTTCTTTTTTATTAGTGAAGTACTTGTTTGGGATAAATAATGAATACATTTGTGGGGAACTGGTACATATGCAACACTGCACGAGTGGGGTAGCGCCTCCCTACATAGTTCAGGCTGGTCTGAACTTACTATGTAGCTCAGGATGGCTTAGAACTCACAGTGATCCTACTGCCTCAGCCTCCTGAGAGCTGGAGTTACAGGCCTACACTGCCATAACTGGATCACATATTGCCTCTCAATTCTTTTTCTTTTCCTTCTTCCCCTCTCCCTCCATCCTTAAGATTCCCTTCTCATCTCAGAAAGATCTATATCCCTGTTTCTTACCATCTAGCTTTTATTTTGCTCTTTAAATTATTTATACTTTGAGATACTCATGTAAGAGAAGCCATACAATTTATAAATGTAACTTCCCTAAGGAAAAATTCATTAGGATGCACATGAATTTTTTGGCAAGGGTAATGGGATGAGTTTGCACTATCTGAAAATCTTAAGAAAATGTATTTATGAAACATTCCACAACTTTCATTCTAGTTCCTGCCAAGACTCAATAGGGCAGTTTGTACAAATAAAGCCTCAGGGACCCGATGCTGGAACAGGTATACAGCTGGACCCTAGGCACTCTTCCCAAGGTCTATGGCTCCTAGGGTCAGACTCTAAGCCTGTGGGAGATGCTGGGATGGCCAGAGGTATGGCAATGCCATGTTCTGCAGATAGAAAGGCCAGTATATCCATGAGCGCTCAGAAGATTCTGGGCAAGAGTGCAGACCAAACACCTGGGGTTCAAGGAACAGGGAGAAAGACCTGATGGGATCAGTGTTGGATAATGGCTGAGGGACATGGCAGTCACCACTGAGGGGGTACCATTATCAGATGAGTACCCCATATATGTAGAATTCCAGACTGTAGCAGGTACTGGCTGGGCTGGTCTTACAGTGTGATTTGTTGGCCTGAACAAGGGGAGTTATGAGAGGGTTAAAGTGGGACGTATGGCCAGAATGGCTCAGGCCATCTGCAAAGCTTCCAACCTTTCAACCAGGCAAGGTGGCAGAGCAAGGTACACTGGGGGCACAAAACGTGGAAGCTCCCAGGTAGTGAGATCTGCAACTAAGGTGCAGACATGAGGGATGAGTAGGACTCTAGAGTCCTTCACCCAGGAAAAGTGACAGGGACCCCAGGAGTCATTTACTAGCCACAAGACAGGCTAGAGAGACAGGAAGGTCTGGAAGACAGCACTAGGGTGACCCCAGATTGCACTATGGGTTCTTACAGAACTGGAAAGAAGCTCAGGGTGCTGACAGATCACCGTCTGTCAGGAGGCTGTCAGATGTCAGAATAAGGAAGACTTAAAGGCCAAGTGCAGAGTCAGTGCATGACAGTGCACAGGAGATACTCTGTGAGGGCGCAGGTAAACTATCTTCACAGAGCAAGTCCTGATACAGGTAGCATCTCTGCAGCAGAAAAAAGCAACTAAGGCCGAGCAGGTAACAACTGAACAGGCAGGGGTCTGGCAGCTTGTGATGCCCTAAAATCATTTGAGCTATGGAAGATAGGAGAAAAAAGGAAGAAGAACAGAAAGCCAGACTGATCGTGGGGTCTGGGACAGAAGTATCAGCAGGCGAGAGAGGCTGGAAAGTCTTTGGAAGTGGTCCAGGAGACCAGAGGAAACACAATGGGAAAGAGAGGCTTTGTAGAGGACAGGGAACCAGCACGTACAAACACACAGAGAAGGGAAGGAGGAAGCAAGACTGGGGCCACTTTCACACCTGGGCTTTCCCACTTTCTTGGGAACAAAATGGGCACCTGAGAGGACAGTAAATTTTAATTCTGAGGGTCCTCATTGAGAAAATGGAAAAAAGCTGCACACATTTTAACTTTCGAATTTCACTGAACAAATGTGAGTATTCAAAAGCTGCAAACACAATGTCGTAATACTTATACTTACCCAACCTGAATGAGTTCATTCAACTTCGTTGCATTCTTGTCATCCATACCTTTAAATAGAAGACACATAAATGAGGTCAAGGGGTAGTTAGGAGCAAAAGTATTTGAGTCTTATATAATCATCTTCCACATAGACTCCACCAAACCTTGCCACTAAATACTCAAGGTCTTCCAGAATAAAACCTCTGTGGTAGCTGCAGCCCTTTCCCCAAGGTCATCTAGAAAATTAGTTACCTAAGAGGAACTCCACTAATCCACACATCTCAGCCTGCCTGCAGGTCTCTCTTTAGCCACTTTCTCAAAGGTCCAACTTTTGATCTATCCCAGAAGTTCTCTTTAATCCCTTGCTATTACTAAGCTGCTATTTGGTCTGGAACACTGGTTTTGATGACTGCTCTCTCTAGGTACCATGCTAGGCCTGTGCACAATTTCCTTGCTGGGCTCCACACCCAATGGTGTCCACAAGTGAACCCTCAGGAATCCCAACAACCCCAACAAGGCCTGAAAACAATGAGTCTGACATCTTCACTGTTGGTTAGAGCAGAGTCCCTACTTCCTCTGAACTCACTGCTGCCAAGGAAAGATGAGCAGAAAAGCAAGTAGTAAGAAGCTAGTGGGGAAAAAAAAGAAGCTAGTGAAAGAGTCTAGATGGAGGCACTTGGGTTGCTCACTGCAAAATTCCTTCAGTTCCTTGAACTCTTCTGCATTTTGGGGGCATGGAAACCACAAAGACACAGTCAGAAACAAAGGTGAAATGGTAAAGCAACCAGCCAGACTGAATTCAGACAGAAGAACAATGACCCAGGTAACCACTGATCTCTCAGCAGAAATAGTACAGGCCAGAGACACTGGACAACAACTGTAGTGCAAGTAAAAAAAATTGTCAAATCAGAATTCTACATTCACGAAAATTTTAAGGAAAACAAAGGCTGGGGGGGTGGTCTCCAGGGACTGGGGACTGGGACTGGACACTTCTATAATCCCAGCACTCAGAAGGCTAAAGCAAGAGGATGACTGTGATTTTGAGGCCATCCTGGGTGACACAGTAAGTTCAGGTTCAGCCTGAATTACGAATGAAGACCCAGTCTCAAAAATCCAACCAAACAAAAACCAAACCAAACCAAACAAAAAATCAAAGGCTTTTCAGATAAATAATAACTAAAAGAATTCATGGCTGGTGCAACTGAATGACAAGAAGTGAAGTTAAATTTTTCAAGCAAAGTAAAAGAATCCCAGATGGTAACAGTACTTCAGAAAAGACAGAAGAGCACTGGAAAGGGCAAATCAGCCACCCTTTCTGTGAGCAAGACTTTAGGATGAGGAGCCCAGCTTAGATCTGACCTGTTGGTCAGGAAGAAAGTCCCACAGTCGTGTGTCTGTACAGAAAAAGGCTTGGAGGTAAAGCCTGGGAGGAGGCAATTGAACTGGATCACACAAGCCCTGGTAGACAGGCATGGGACTTTCTGCCTTTGTCTTGGGACTGGGAGGTAAGGCTATTCATCAGTGATCCAGCCCTGGTCAAGTGATCTCTCAGGACAGGACACCAGGGCCAGCAACCCAGCACCTAAGAGGCCCCATCCTGGAAACCCAGGCTCTAGCCAGCGGACCAAACACCAAGCAAAGGGACTCTGCACAAGACCTGTCTGCTCAAGATGGTGAAGGCTGGAAAGCCAGGCATAGGCACTGCCACACGAGGCATGTCACCCAGCAGCTGTGCCCAGCTCACTCCATTTCAAGGCAAATAAATAGAGCCTGTCACTTGTTTCATGAGGGTCCTGCATCATCCACTTCCCTCGCTCCCCAATACCCTTCAAGACCTTTTGCAATTGGTACTTGACATGGTCAGCAGGTAGACATCCTAGGAGAGGACAGACTCAAGTCTGCTATGCAAGGACTCATATTTTTCTGGAGACTCCAAGCAGAACAAGCCATGTCAAGAAAATCTTGCTCTAACCACCAGCTCTCAAATGCATTTTCCAAAGCCCAGAAAGAACAGATCATGCATATGCCTCAGAGAAATGCTACTAGGTCTTGAGTGTACATCCCCAAAAAGAGACATAAAAGAACAAAACAGTCTATACAGGCATACCACCCTGAATGTGCAGAATCTTATCTGATCTAGGAAGTTAAGCAGGGTTGGGCCTGGTTAGTACTTGGATAGAAGACAAAAGAACACAAAAAGGGAAGATGTCTAGGAATCCAAATACGACAAATTGATTGAGTAGTATTGGGGGATTCAGAGGGGTCCAGAGGGAAATAACACCATAGCATGACGGACACTTAGCAGATCCACATGCTAAGAGCCATCTGTGGGCTTCAGATGTGTACAAGCATGTGAGAGTGTATGTTCAAGTGTAAGGTACAGTTGGGCTAGAAGGGACCAACCAGCATACCCAGCAGAACTGGAGTAAGCACAAGCTGAGCCACAGGGGCACTCTGACCAATGAGCCACCTGGCAGAGGAATGGGTATAACCAGAAAGATGGGACACAGGCTTGAATACAGAGGCCCCTGGTCACAGAAGCCAGCGTTACTGTGGGCAATAGAAAGCCATTAAGGTCACAGAAAAGGAACAAATAAGATAATGTGTCCAGAGACTCAGGTAGAGGGCCTAAAGACAGTCAAAGCACTCTTTCCAAGAAGGTTTGGTACCCAATGTGTTATCTGGACTGGAAGCCTTGCAGGGTGGGAAACAGTGAGGACAGAATAGTGGAAACAGGCAGGGACACATGTTGTGCCTCAGTCAGTCAAGGATGCTGCCCATGCAAAATGGAGGCCAAAGGGGTGGGAAAGAAGCCCTCTGGCTTCTAGGAAAGAAAGATTCACAGAGGGAGAACAGAGGCACAGGGACATCAGGGAGTATACCACAGGTCCACAATGAAGACAAGATGAGAAGAGTAGACCCAATCCGGTGGTAGAAGGAACAGGTAGAAAAGCAAGTGAGGGCAGCCTAGGGCATCATCTCCAGTAGCTGCCTCTGTGCTGCTGCCATCAACTATGATGAGGACAAGTGGCCCCAAGACGGGGATGGGAAGGGGGCAGGTGCCCATTCTGAGACCACCAAGGGAGAGGGCAACGGGACTGCTCAGCCTGTGGATGGCCTGAAGCTGCAGGGCTGGGTGAGGAGAGCCACAGAGGAACTGAGATTCAGAAATAAGGAGAGGAATGTCAGCACATGCAACAGTGTGAGGGAAGAGGCTCTAGGGCATGAAAGTCACAGGCAGTCTAGAATGTCTGGAGCCTGAAAGCAGATGACTGGAAAGAGAAGAAGTTAGGAGTCAAGACCTAAGTCTTCACCCAGAGCAGAGAAAACAGCAATGAAGGGCAGAGACTGGAGGAAGAGAAGAGATGCAGGGCATCACAAAGGAGCAAAGAGCCTCCTAAACACAAAAGTGGGGTGGCCCACAGAAGCTACCAGACGGACAATGATCAGATATGAAGAGTGACTGCTCAGGATATGGCCAGAGAAGACACAAGGAGCAGCCAGCAAATACCCATCCTCCCCAGTGCTACAGCCCACTCTGAGCTGTGACACATTAGGTGACCAGGCATGGGCCCTACAATGCCCACTGGATTGGGGCCTAGGGAGTCACAGAAGAAGCACAGGCAAGGATGAGATGCATAGGCCACAGATGCCCTGCAAAGTTCAGAGCATCCCTACCAAACACCCACACAGAGTTGTTCTAGAGGAAAACTGGTCACTGAGAAACTAAGTGCAAGGACCTGAGTTTGATCCCTGGTACCAAAAAAATAAATAAATAAAATAATGATAATGATGATGATGATGATGATGATGATGATGATGATGATGATGATGATGCCAGGGCCAGGGATTTAACTCAGTGGTGCTGCTGAATGCCTTGCAAGAGCAAGGTCTGGAGTTCAATCACCAGTACCAAAAACAAAAAACAAAACAAAAAAACCAATGACATCAAAGATCGAAAACTAGGATGGGGGCTGGGGATTTAGCTCAGTAGCACCGCACCTGCCTTGCAAGTGCAAGTTCCTGAGTTCAATCCCCAGTACCAATCAAAAAACAAACAAACAAACAAGAAAACTAGGATGGGTTCTTGGTTGAAAGTTCTCAGGGAGAACCAGAGTCACATGTGGCACAACAGCCTTCAATAGAAGCCCTGACCAATGTCTGAGAACATTCTGAGAAATTTAAAAATGGGTAGGAATTTAGGCAGATTGTTGCACTTGCTTGATAGAAATGTGTCATTGAGACAATGGGATGTGGTTTTATAGCATGACTTTGTTCTCAGGTGATGGAGGCTGCAGTCTCTAGGGTGTGATATAAGGTCTTACAGTTAAATGGCAGAGGAAGAAAAACTGGAAAATGTGTGTGAATGTGTGTGTAGAAAGATAGTAAGCAAATGTGACCAACGTTAACCACTGGTAAATCTAAAGGAAGGCATTTCATCACATGCTTTTTCAATTATTGTCATCAAAATGTTTTCAAATAAATGTTTTCAAAAGGGAAAGTAAGTGATCCTGAACACTAAGGATCGGAGGTGACAAGGGCAAGGGGAGCCTGAGGACAGGCAGGGTACTCACAGCCCCCAATCTTCTTGCGCAGCTCGCCATAGCAGATGAGGCCATACAGCTCCTGGGATGACTTCTTCAGCCCTCGTGAGAACACTGGAAGATGAGCGAAGGAAAGAACTTAGGATGGGGGTACAGATACCCTGCAGGTACAACCTGTGTACACATGAATGACACTAGGTAGCATTTCCAAGCAGGTTCAGGCAGATTTTCTGGTTGATCATGGCACTTTGGTCATGCATGATGCAAAACCCGGGGGGAAATGATAGAGAACACACAGGAAAACGGTGCTGTTTTTGCAATTTTCAAAATAAAAATCTAAACAAAAATGACAGGTACGGCTTTTACATTACTGATGGGTAGAGCAAATATCCTCAGAAGAAAATGGATCATTCAGCACAGCAGGTTCTCACAGAGAAGAGGAAGAGGAGGGTGTAGACATAAGAGCATAGTCACACCTGTTCTCTAGCTCTGCCATGCAGAGTTCCCTCAAGCAGCAAGTGAGGTGGCAACCTAAACCCTCACAAGTTTCCACCTCCCTGTATAACCTAACCTCCCTGGCTAACAAGGCAACCAGCTGTAGATACCACCAAACCCCTAGCTGGTATCCACCTCTCTATCTTCAGTAATGGGACAGGCTTTATGCAGGAGGCAGACAGGATACAACATATGCAGCTCAACATGATACCAATTAAGTTCTGGGCTTTGAGGAAGGAGGTTGTGGAGACTCTAGCAAGCTTCTTCAAAAGGCAGAATTGGGGCAGGTGCTGCCATGTGGCTCTATCCTAGATACTAGTAGCACACAATGACACTAGAACAGCAAAGCAGAGAGGAGGCGCCAGGTCCCTACTGCGCTGAAAAGCAGTCCCCAGGTACTGGGTGGGAGAGAGAAACTTTCCATGCTAGCCACTGTTCTCTTGAATATTTTCAATTATACAAAGTAGAGTCCCATATGTTGCCATGGGAGTTAAGCTACACAGAGGAAGAGTCTAGGCACCTTCAGGCCATCTCACAGTGTAGGGACAAATATCACACTCTTGCAACTGTCCTCTCTGGCTCTCTCCTCAGAGATACTTTTTTTTTAAAGGCAACATAATAAGTAGAATAGTAAGTGGACTTTATTTTTTTCAGATTGTCATTTTTACTTTTTAAAAAAATTTTGTTAGTACGTATTTGCAGTACATAAATGATTATACTCCTTGTGGAAAGTTGGTACATGTACATAACACAACCTAATTCTTTTTTTCATCTTTTCCCTCCCCTCCATATTTTGGTCCACTTCCCTTTTACAACAAATTTATCTCCCTGTTTTCTATTATCTTTTATTTTGCTCTTTAATTTACTGTATTTGTATTTTGGGATTCTCATATAAGAGAAATCATGCATTATTTAAACTTGTGTGATTAGTTTTACTTAACATTATTGTCTCAAGGTGCATCCATTTTCCTAAAAACATTACTCTTTTATTTTTCTTTAAAGTAGAACAGTACTCCATTGTGTACAAATACCACATTTTCTTATTCATCTACTGATGGACATATAGATCACATTCAAAATTTAGATATTATGAGTTGTGCTGCTACAAACAGGGGTATGCAGGTATCACTATAATATGAGTTCTTCGAGTCTTTTAGGAAGATGCCCTGAAGGGGAATAACTGGGTCAAATGGAATTTCTACTTTTTGTTTTTTGAAGAATCTCCATTCTGAAGGATCTAACATTAAAATGTGTGTGCTTATAATAAGAGAGAACAAAAAACATATCAGTAAATGACAAACAATATTTTGAGGACAAGGATTGAAGCACTCTGAACTTTGGACTGGCACAAAGACTCTGACTCTGCTAACACTGTAGGCTAAATCCAGGATCTCATTGGATTTCAAAGTAGACCAGCACTCAGGAAAGTCTAAAACCCACTACTCAATAATAACAAAGAACAGCAGATGTGTGGTGATACATACTTTTAATTCCAGCACTAGGGAGGCTGAAGCAGTAAGACCATCATGAGTTCAAGGTCAGCCTGGACTACATAGCAAGACCTTGTCTCAAAAAACAAAACAAGGTAACAAAAAGGTAGACCATCCATACAACTGTTAAGTCAGTCAGACTATTGGTATCAGCCAATAGGCTTGTAGTCTAAATGGAATAAAATGGAAAAGAAGGAAGTCTCCTCCTTTGGAGGAGAACCAGTCTTCACCATTGCATTGGGACATCTGTTTCCAGGCTTTCAATGCAGATTCTTCAGCCTCCAGCTCAGACTCTTCAGCCTCCCAGTTCAGATTCCAGTCTTTCAATGCAGACCCTTTGACTTCCAACAAGACTTTGCAGTGAGCTTTAGGTCTTTTACCTCTGACTGGATTATTTGACTCCCCGATGCACAGAGAGCTCTTTCTGCATTCTTTCACACCTGACTCTGCCATTGTAAGCCTACCTTGAAAATTATATACATAATACATAAGTTTGATATAACTATATTAAATATAAATATAAACATATTAAATCTGTTACTCTGGCGAGCCCTGACTGACATACTCCACAACAGGCAAATCCACAGAAAGAAAGCAGGTGTTTGTTGAGGCTGGGGAGAAGAAATAAGAGTGAATGCAAATGGGGATGAGGTCTCCTTTGGGGTGATAAAAATATTTTTATTTTTAATTTTTTCCACATTTTTTATCCATTTCAAGAAATATTTTTAGAAGGTAATGAATATACCAAACGCCACTGAAGTATAATCTAAAAAGGTGAATTTTATGGAATGTGGTATCTCAAAAAAATTTTTTTAAAAAAGTTCAACATGTGAATTGGCAAAAAGAGAAATAGTCACAACCTAGAAAAGCACAAACAGCATCAAGAGCAAGAGAGTACAGAGAAAAGGCCAATAGGAGTGTGGAGCAAAAGGCAGGGAGCAAGCCCAGAACAGAGGCTCCAAGGGGCAAGGCGGCCTCATGCCATCGTACAATTCCCAGTCCCTTCACATGGAGAGAAGGGAAGAAAGCAGAGCTCACCTTTTGAAACTTTAAGGTGTGTGAAACAAAACCCGCACCCAACAGCAGACAACAGCCAAGTAAGGTGGATGTGCGTGGACATTATTCTTCAGGGTAGCACACTGCCGCATAGTCACTGGGGACCTACCTCTGCGTGAAGATGATGTGGGACTACTAAAACTAACGAATTCTTGATGAAGCATGTGGAGGCTGCAGCGCCAGAGCGGTGAACGACTGACTTACGCTCCAAGGGATGACCTGTCCTTACAGCATGGACTTGGCCCAGCCACCCTGATCCCACACATGTTCTTGCTTACCCTTGCTTTGGCTCTTAAGAACACCTAAAATACATATGATACATTAAAACAACAGCAACAACAACAAAAACAAAAACACTGCTACTCTGCATGGTACAATATGAAAACATCTAAGGAACCACAGGAATTTCAGAGTGTCCTGGTGACCCTCTACCTGAGGCTCTCAGCTGGGCTAGACAACCTTCAGGGCGGAAACCAGCTGAAGAAGTCTGAACAGGATCACAGTGCATGATGCATGTAGCTAACAGGCTCATTAAAGAACCTCAGGAAAGCTATATCCACAAATGAAGAACAGACCTTCAAGTGGGACAAACAGGACACTAAGAGCAAGACACACGGGAAACATCAAGGCTGTAGGGACAGTGTATGGGCGAGGAAGATGAAGTAGGGGTTGGGAGAGAAGCTAAGCCATCATATAGAAAAGGGAAAGGACAGGCTGGGTCAGATCCCACAGGAGCCTGATGGGAGGGAAGAGCCAAGAAGAATGATGCCTCCAGGCACCAGGGAGGTAGGGCAAGGAGGTTGTTCAGCAGAAAATATGGCAAAAATAGAAAAGAAGCCAGGTGTGATGGTGCACACCTGGAAGTTAAGGAGGGTTCCAAGTTCAAGGCAAGCCTGAGTAACTTAGTGACTTAGCAAAACCCTATCTCAAAATAAAATGGACAGGGGATATAGCTCAGTGCAAAGGCCTTGGAGATCTCCAGTGCTGCAAAGCAAAGAAAAAACCTGCTTCAAGTGCTTCCTGCTATCAACAGAGGAAAAAAGCACAAATTTGGCAGTGCCTAGGAATGAGCATTTTGGCCTTAGAGCTGTGAATGAGGCCTGGTCTGAGTATGCACCACCTACACTGTACATGGATGAACCTCAGTAAAACTACACACAATGATGGCTGCACTGGAATTTGCCCGCTCTCCACAACAGCCTCCCAACTCTTGCTGCAACTTGCTGGCCACCTTCTCATTTGAAGAGAGCTTTTTAAGACCAGCCAAAGTAAACTCATGCTCATGGACAGACTTTCAGAAAATCATTAAATATGGTAGATACAAGAAAAGGAAAATAGAAAGACAAAGCATATAAACAGAGCCCCTCTGGAAGGCAGAAGTCTTCACTGCAAACAGACACAAATCACGATAGTCTTGGACCCCAGGGGACCTAACCAGTGAAGAGATATGCAAATAAACCATCAATCTGAGTACACAGCAACAGTGCTGACAACTGGAAAAGAACAAAATGGTGTTGGCTTGAAGTGAGCAGGAAATTTTATGCTGATGGTCATGTGGGCACCAATAGCAAACAAATCAGCATTAACAAAAGAGTCACCAATTCAACTAAGGGATGTTCCCACTGATTAGAGACTGACAAACCCAATTCCCTAGGTCGTTAGAGAAAGTCCACAGGAGGCAGGTGTGTGCCCATCCCCACCAAGTTCAGTTCCATGGGCAGATGGGGAAATGGGCATTATTAGAGTCTCCTAAAACTATGATAATGTGATGCGCACTACGATCAAGGTACAGTGACCCAAGAGCCGGGGATTTGGCTCAGTGGTCCCACAGCCTTCCTTGCAAGCGCAAAGGCCTGAGTTCAATAACAAAAACAAAACAAAAAAGACACAGTGATCCTGCAGAGAGGACACTACAGGAATGGCAAGGGAAGACAAGGAATATCAAAGGCCAACATGAAGGCACAGGCAAAAGTTGAAAGGTGGAACAATACAGTCACAGTTGATCCAGTTACCCTGGCACAGAAGATATAATATTTGGAGAGAAGAAGGATTAACAATGAGTGTAGATATCAGAAGAAGGGAGCATCTAGAATGAACCCACTATTGTGAAAATGCAGTAGTGCATAACAGGGCCAAGTAGCCTGCAACTCAGGAAGCATGGGGAAAGGCTTTTCTCCCAATATGTGCAAACAGTTGGCAATACTTTACAAAGACAAAGGCAGTACAAAAGAACATGGGCCAACTGACCCTGGAGAAACCACTGACCAGCCAAAGGTGCTCAGAGTTGAAAGCCACACTGCACCTGGATTCAAATACAGATGGTCAGAGTTGTGGTAAAGATTGCTTTCCTGGGGAAGAATGACACCAGGCTGCTCAACTGTCATTCTCAATGTGCTCCACATGAGAGAGAGGGTCCAATCTTAGGCCACCAGCGCACCTGCAACTCAATTTTCCTTCACTGCATCTCAGTGCCCTCATTCACAGGGGATCTAGAACCCACATGCATTCAGAGCCACTGAAACATAGAAAACTCAAGAGACGTATCAGTAAGATCACTAGTGCATGTATGCAAGCACCTTCCTTGCAGGTAAACTAACCAATAGGCACTGGGCATGCTGCCAGCCAAAGCACTGGAAACAAATCTCCGGCAAGCAGCTGTGAAAGGCAATGCCAGAAAACATGCTCCTGAGCAGAGGCCCAGCCTGTGGCATACTCACCATTGTCAAAGTCGATGTACTTGGTGATCTTGTGCCAGGTGCGGTAATAGAAATGCCGGACCTGCTCTTTGTTCTTCACCATGCTTGCAGGCTTGCCCTTTTTCTTGTACTTCAGAGCAATGTTGTTCTGAATTGCTTCAAAGTCTTTCCCATGCTGGAAAACAAAGTCCACAATAAAACTACAGTGGTTAAGACAAAGCGACTCTCTCTATGACAGTGGTGGTGAACCTAAGGCACTCATGCCACAACTGGCTGTTTGTTATCATTGAAAACTCTAAAAAGCTTTGCCATCAATGCACTATGATATTCACACAGTGCAGAAAGAAGGGAACAGGTGGGCTGCAGGCTATCCCTTACTGCTCTTACTTGTGCATGATCTTCAATTCTGCTGCCCTATCGTCTCAGGCTGGAATTAGGTAAAGCAGCAAAGGCACTCGGATAGAACATCACAGCCTGTGGGTACCAAAGAGACAAGGACTCTGCTACTGTTTGAATGTGTTCCCTCCAAAATTCAGGCGGTGTCAATGTGACGATATGAAGAGGAGACTCCACCCTCATGAATGGCATTAGGCCCTTATCTTCTAGACATTTTCATTAATCTTGCCCCTCTACCTTCTGACATGGGAGGCACAGGGCTCCTGCTTTCAGAAGGATGTTTAAAAAAAGAAAGACACCATTTTGGAAGCTGAACGCAGCTCTCAGCAGATATCAGCTGTATAGCATCTTGATCCTGGACTTCCTAGCTTCCAGATATGAGAAATAAATCTGTTTTTCACAAGTTGCCCCAGGTCAGGTATTTTTGATGTAACAGCACACAACAAACTAAAGCAGCCTTACAGCAGGAGAAACATAAAACTCAATGGGACAATCAGCTTACTCTCTGGAGTTCTTTAGAAACCTTGCAGGAGATACCTCCATAAGAACAGCACTGGCCTACACAGCACAATGTAATTCATGAGCTCAGGGTGCTGCCACCAAGTGTCACAAAAGAAAATAGGAAGGCATTCTGCATAACCTTTTCCTTTCTTTGATCATAAAAAGTGTATTCCACATTCAAACAAGGTTAGTCAATATGCATACTTAAGAAGAGACCCTTATAGGCTGTGATCTGATGATATTTTTGGAATGCCTCCAAAAAAAGTTGAGCACAACCTAGATTTTAAGAATGAAACCTTGGCAGAGGTAAGGGGAAAAAATGAGAATCAAGACTTGTCATGTAGAGATACAAGATCCCAACAATGAATGTAACTGTACTGTATCCCTAAAATGTACCAATAAACTCAATTAAAGCTGAGAAAAAAAAAAAAAAAAAAGAATGAAACCTAGGTCCTAGTGCTACTTCAGGACTTCCATAAGGAAAATCAACTATATGACATTCTCATCAAAACCATCTATTAAAGGGCCGGGGATTTGGCTCAGTGGTGCCACCACCTGCCTTGCAAGCGCAAGGGCCCAAATTCAATCCCAGGTACCAAAACAAAAACAAAACCGTCTATTAAGAAGTACTGGGGTGGAGGGGAGAGGGGCAGGGATTTAGCTTGCCTGGCAAGCACAAGGTCCTGAGTTCAATCCCCAGTACCGCAAAAAAAAAAAAAAAAAAAAAAAAAAAAAAAAAAAAAAGCCAGAAGAAGTACTGGAAAGGCGTCAGTGGCAATAGCACCACAGCCCCATGTCTTGGTTCCTAAGTATCACTTTTCAAACAAATAAATAAACAAAAAAAGGCTCCCTGGAGAAATGGCTGATTCTAGGGCTGGGGCAGGGAGAGCACCAGGTGTGCACAGAATACCTTAAGGTGCCAAAGATTGAGAATATGCTCAGGGAGAGACAAGAGCCAGTTACAGAGGCTCCCATACCCAAAGCTGGAACCATGTGGACCACAAAATTAACAATGACACAAACAGAAAGTGATCTGCACAATAAACTAGACACACAGCTTATATGTATATAAATAAGTAACTGATAAATACATCCATCAACATGGGAGAAGGGAGGGTACTTACATAGGATTTCTTATCAGTAGACATGGAAAAACAATAGAAAAAAGACCATCACTGGTGAATACCAATGTGATCATTATTTCAGGTAAGAAGCAGCCATGGTTGCTAAAAATTTGTTAAAGAATGTATGATGAGGGCCGGGGATTTAGCTCAGTGGTTCTGCTGCCTGCCTCAAAAGCACACATGATGAGAAGCAGGACACTTACACTCTCAAAGGTAAACAGAATGAGTTCATGGGGGATAGACATGCAGTCAATACACAAACCTCAAGGTCCAGGGTGGCATTACCAGGACTGAGAAAGATCTCATCATGCACCTCCTGGCTAGATGTACCAAGGACACATCACTGCCATGGAATTCTTGACACAAATTTAATCATGAGGAAACGTCAGACAAAGCCAAATGGAGAGACAGTCTAATAGGCAGGGTTCTTAAAAGTGTTAAAAGTCACAGAAGACAAAAGAGAAATTGAGGAAGCATTCCAGGTGGCAGAAAACTCAACTGTGGGAATCGCACCTGCTAACTCTGCAGAAGGCCTGCAGGTGAGTGATCGGAGCCCTCCATGTTCCCTTTCCTCATTCCACTTGTCACACTGTGGGTACCTTAACATTGGGGAAACAGGGTGAAGGACACATGGGAATTTTTTGGGTTTTTTTTTTTGTTGTTGTTGTTGTTGTTATACAACATTTTTTCAGTCTGACATTGTTCCAAAATGAAAAGCTAAAAAATAAAAACCCTAGAGAGATGGTTTGGAGGTTCTAGCAGAGAAGCGCAGCTACTTGTATACCCCCGCCTGAGGAAACAGTCCTCCTCTATCAGGGGTGGTCATCCTCTTAGACCCAGCATGCAGCTTCAGGAGGGACCCACGTGGAGCAGTGAGGGAGGAAGGGATACCTGCCTAGCCAACCAGATCAGCCAAATCAACCCTGGCAATCAATGGGGTGACAAACATCACAGCAAAAAAATACCCTCACATCCAAAAAATTAAAAAAACCTTTAAGAAAATTAGAACTTACTTAATGTTTCAAAAAAATAATGGAGCAGGGTAGATTCAGCTATTTGGGAGACTGGGGTAGGAAGATTCCAAGTTCCAGACATAAACCACAAAGAATCAAAGCTGGTTCTGAAACATCTCTCTTGAGTGTCCAGCTTTAGAAGCCCCCCGCTTCCTGGCTGTCTTCTGCCTTGGAGACAGATCACAGTAGAAGCAAATTGATTCCTGCCCCTGTATTCTCAAACTATGCAGCCTCTGGAGTCTGTGACACTTGAACACATGCCTTCTCAGTCATCCTTGTGTGGCCCATTGTATTTCCCCAACACAATAGTAAGCTCCTGATGGGCAAGAACTTCTCTCCATTTCTAGCATAGCTATGTTGCCCTATGATTAGTTATGAACTCAATCAAATGGTGGTGGCAAAAGGAACAAATAGGCACAGTTAAAGTAAGAGAACTGTATCCAAAGTCAAAGAGACAAAACTCACAGTATGTATATGGTAAAGAAAAAAAGTCAAGGGTACCCCTGCTGGCATTTGCAGGAGATTGGGAAGGTGCAGGCAAAAGCAGAGAAAGGAAGCCTATCACAAAGCACAGGAGTTCTCAACAAGGTAAGAAATAAGAACAAGAGGCTCACCAGGAAACTGTAAGACAGGTAACTAAGAACAGTATGATGAAAACAAATACATACAGATGGTAAGAGAGACAGATATTAAGGGAAATGAACACTTACTGGTAGACTACAGAACCACAGCTGGAACAGAAGGGCATTAAGAGACAGATGGTAAGAGCAGGTCCAGGTTCAATCCATTCACCTGTCCACCCTATTTTCTCCCAGAAAGAGGACCATGACTCATTCCTGGCCACAGAGAGGGAGTCTGGAAGACCATCACTGAAGAGAACCCTGGGGCCCAGGTTGTCCAAACAAAGGCAGGGTTGGGGCAGCATTGGCCTCTGGTGGGTCTGAGGCAGGAGAGAAGCAACAGACTGAGGCCCAGAATGAATAACTGCAGAATCTCTGCATCCAATCAGCTCTCTCTTGCTTTGAACAGTTATCCAATTTCCTCCACCCTGAGCGCTGCTCTGAGCTAGTCTCCAACACTGGGTGCATAAGTAGATCACATATGTGCCATCAATAAGACAGCAAGGAGCTTGGAATGTAGCTCAGGGCTAAAGCATGTGCTTAGCACGTAAAGGTGCTGGGTTTCATCTCCAGCACCAAAAAAAAAGGGGGAAGAGGACAGCAAAATCTTAACAAACATTACAGAAATAATACTCCTCAGAATAGACCAAAAATGAGGTCCCATTATTATCCCCATTGATCAGCTACACATAAAGGTCCCATCACAGTCCCAGCTAGCTTTAGTCAGATACATAAAACGATAGACCTAAGGTATGTGTGCTTCTTCTATCTCATGCTCAAACTACACACTGTTTGAGATACACAGTACCAACGGCAGAAGGCACAAAGTGAACAGAATAGCCAATTATTACTAGTCAAGGATTTCAGGAGATCTAACATTGAATACCTACCTGGTAGAAAAAGGAAATCAAGTACATTCCTATAATCCAAGTACTCTGAGAGAGTAAAGCAAGAGGATCATAAATTTAAGACCAGGCTGGGCAACTTAGCAAGACCCTATCTCAAAATAAATTTTAAAAAGGGCTGGGGATGTAGCTCAGTCAAAAGGCCCTGTGTTTAATTCCCCACCAATTCCCCCCCACACACACACAGGGAAAACGAGGCTAGGAGAAAGGAATGCATTAATTCACCTGAAGAAGGGCAAGAGGCGGGTGGCAAAAAGGACTCATTTCCCTACTTTTAGTTCAACCACATCTAGTACTCTATTTTTTGCATCCAGGCTGGTAGATCTCACAGAGCACACAGTCCCCCTGGGAAGAAAGAGCCACACCATAGTAGTGACGGGTTCAGGTAAGACTCTGCAGTAACTGGCTTTTAGCCAGGCCTGTAATCCCAGCACTCGAGAAACTGAGGCAGGATATCACTAAAAGCTCAAGGCCAGCCTAGGGTACAAAAAGTATTCAAGGGGGCAGGGAATTTAGCTCAGTGGTTCTGTTGTCTGCCTTGAAAGCACAAGAACCCAAGTTCAATCCCCGGTACCAAACAAACAAACCAAGTTCAAGGCCAGCCTAGACTACATAGTGAAACCCTGCCTCAAAAAAAATGAATGAATTAATGAATGAATGAAGCTTTTGACAGCAAGGCAAGAATCACAGGTCTTCTACTCCCAACAAGCAGTTTATCAGGGGCTGGGGATTTAGCTCAGTGGTTCTGCTGTCTGCCTCGCAAGCACAAAGACCCGAGTTCGATCCCTGGTACCAAAACAAAAAGTAAAAACTCCAACAAGCAGTTTATCAGAGATATAATGTGGGGATTTTCCCTACACAAAGGCAATCTTTATACTTTATTATAAAATTCTTAAAGAAAACATTTTATTTACTTGAATGGTTTTATATCACAAGCCTTGTGGGCACACTTTATTCTTTCTGAGGACGACAAATGTCAAACCACGCTAATACACCAATCCTGTCCACTTAAGATAGGCAGATCGCAGCCATCTGGTCCCAGAGGGAGCAATATCAGCCATGGGAATACAGTGAAATCAAGTCTGGTGCCTACATTTAGAAGTGTCTCCTTTCCTAATCTTTCTGTAAATGTTTCATGGTTTAAATTTCAAAGCTTCATTCCTTTATACAGATTACGTTTCCTAGGCTTACCAACACTTTCCCATCACTCCAGTGAATTGGCTATTAAAATGACAAGACTGTTGTTCTAGTGACCTCTTCCTAATCTTATGTGCCTAAGAAGTCATCTAAAATAAGGAATGTACACAAAGACGTTCGCTGTAGCATTATTCATAACAGAATCTGGTAGAAACCTCAGTAGTCCACAAAACAAGTATGGTTAATTAAGTACTGCAGGAATGGGCCTGACTTGAGGGACACTCAAGGTCTGCTACAACTACTAAACTCTGTCACAGGACCAAAATCAGCTAGGGGAGAGCACACAAGGAATTGGCATGGATGTGTTCCAATAAAACTTTGTTTATAAAAACAGGCAGTGTATATACAGGCCAGTTCATCTATATCTAAAGTAGAATATTTACAAGCATTTATAAAAAATGAACAAAGGAACTATGAAAAACCATGAAAAATGCAGGCATGGTGGCACACACCATAATTTCAGCTACCTGAAAGATTGAGGCAAAAGGATTTAAGCTCAAACCCAGTGTGGGCAACTTAGCAAGATTCTGTCTCAAAATAAAGCATAAAAAGGGTAGCTCAGAGAGAAGTCCCTAGGTTCAATCCTGGTAACACACAGATACATAAACACACACAGACACAGGGCCAGGGATTTAGCTCAGTGGTTCTGCTACCTGCCTCATAAGTGCAAGGTCCCAAGTTTAATCCCTGGTACCAAAACAAACCAAAATTAAAAAACACACCCACACAGACTATGGGCAAGACAATGGCTAAAAACTTTAGGAAAAAACTGAAAGTAGCATAAAATGCTTCAAACAGCCCTGAGGAGACATAAGGTCACAGCCTGTCAAGGGGGCCACTTCTGCCTAAGCTACCTCAGGGCTTGCAGACAGAAGCTGTTCATCTGTAAGCATGTGGCAAAGGGAGGCAAAGGTGCCCAGACAAGGTGAGCAGTGCAGAAACCAACATGAGGGGGAAACCCTCTGTTCATACTTTCTTACCTCCACAACTCACTCACCTCATACAGACCCTCAAAGAAGGTGTTCTTGTCCTCTGTGCTCCACGATTCCCACTGCCTCCGGACTTTTTTGCCTTCTTCCTTCTCAGCCCCCGAAGACCCGATGTTCCGGGAGGAAGAACGTGAGCCCCCTGCAGAGGCAACCCCAGACACGTTTCCAGACGATGTCCCACCACTGTCGGTTCCTTGAAGAGAAAGGACTATACAGTGACCTGTTCCAAAAAGCTGGTGAGGCCACACAGGACAGATGGTTAGTGAGGACAAGAGGCCACCAATCCACTGTCTGACCTTTCTTACTGAACCAGTGATGCCAGCAGGATAGCAACCAGGACCCGCGTCCAGAACAGAAAACAGAAGCTTAATTTGACCAAACAACCCTTAAATGTTTTTACAGTGAGAAAGGGGAGTCTGTGTGGTGTAGAGTGACACTGTTACATTTGACATTCTGTGCACACTGAAGGCAGAGACCTGTCCCCTCACCAAAGCTTTATGTGACACCGCAGTGTCTCTCATTCAAACAAGATTTTGGTTCAAACAGTCTTAACATCTTTTCAAGTAAATAAGTTGAACTTAAAAAGCAAGAAACCATTTATGTGTCAAATACAGCCTCCTTTCAGACATCATTGGAACTTCAGAATATGAACTTTTTTTTGGTTCTTGGGGTAGAACTCAGAACCTTGTGCTTACAAGGCAGGTGGCAGAACCAGTGAGCTTAATCCCCAGCCCCAGATATGAATTATTTAGTGCCAGAGAAATGTTTAAGAATCCTTATCTTTGACATATTTCCAGAGCCCTCACTAAGGTTTGTTTTTTTGTTTTTTTGTTTTTTTTTTTTTTACTCTGTACCTGGAATTGAACCCAGGGCCTTCATACTGAGCTACAAACCCAGTTCTCTTTTATATTTTAAATTTTGAAACAGGTTCTTCCTAATTTGCTAAATTGCCCAGGCTGGGCTCCAATTTGTGATTCTACTGCCTCAGCCTCCCAGAGTGCTGGTAACAAAGGTGAGCACCACCATGCCTGGGCTCTGGGGTCTTGAGTACTGCTAACCCTGCAAGCTCTCTAGAGCACCAGACCTGACCTCTAGCAGAGTTATCTGAAGCCACATGGAGAGAGCAGCACAATGAAATACATAGCAAGAGAGGTCTGAATGAGAGGACACACACACACACACACACACACACACACACACACACACAGGACTTTATGACCTGACCCCATCCTCCTGCCCACCTAAGTTCCCTCCTCTCAGAGGTAACAGGAACTCACAGCATACCAGTGATAAACAGTGTTCTCTTTTGATATGCTGTGGGACCATAAGATGCTGAGAAACCACCCAACTCTAAAATAACATTACAAAGATAAAAATAAAGATCACAGAAGTAAAAGTACTTTAAAATTCAAAAGCCAAACAAATGTAGATAATTACCAAAATGCTTTCCTAGTAAGACAATCATGGGCTTTTTCATCTGAGATCTATCTCCTAATCAGACAGGGATGGGTCACAGAGCTGGGGTCTCAGAAACTTCTTCCTCACCCTCCCTTTCCCTGGGTCTCCCTCCATAGTGGAGTTAAAAAAAGGAACTTTACGGATCATGAAAGATAAATGAAAAACTAATCCATATAAACTTGGAAAGCACAAGAAACTAGTAGTATAAGCACTGTGCGGAAGTACAGGGAAGGTGCAGACTCAATCTGCTTTGCACCATCTGTCCTGCCTATCAACGTGTGTGCTGTGACTTATGATGGCTCAACTTAAGATTTTTCCTATTTTTCAATCATTTTATTTGCAGTACTAGGAACCAAACCCATGGTCTTGTGCATGCCAAGTAGGCACAATACTACTGAACCAAACCCTCACCCCTCAAATTTAATGTTTTTAATAAACAGCTCTGGGCCGGGGATTTGGCTTAGTGGTGCCACCGCCTGCCTCACAAGCACAAGGTCCTGAGTTCGATCCCCAGTACCAAAAATAAATAAACAAACAATCAAACAAACAGCTTTGCAAATATTTTTTGAGATGAGGATCTCACTATGTTGCCCAGGCTGGCCTCCAACTGCTGGGCTCAAATGATCCTATTTCAAATGATCCCTGAGTGCTGGGAATAGAGGCGTGTGTCAGTCACTACACCCAGCCTGATTTTTCAACTTTATGATGGTAAAAAACTGTTCTTAAAATTTTGAATTTTGAAGTTTTTCCAGGTTGACGATACACAAAACAATCCTCCCTCATGATGCTGGGCAGCAGCACAGAGCCACAGCTTCTAGTCAGCCACAAGAATGGGAAGAGAAACAACACTCTACAGTAGACTGGGTTCCTAAACTAGTATGTCCTATAGGTTAGGTTTATTAAACACACTTTGTACATTATATTTCTAGTTTAATGATGAGCTTATTGGGACATAACCCTGTTGACAATCAAGGCGTATCCATACTTCAAAACAGAGTATTTGAAAACATCCCATCACTCAGCTAACAAAGAGTTTTCACACACACAGAAAACACTGCTTAGCTACATGGAAAAGAATTTGATGCTCTCATATGGAATTGTGTGACAGTTCAAGGACAGACTACAAAACAACTAGGTATGAAGAAAACACTGGTTTATCAGAACTGCACTGTCCAATTCTAAAATTACTAATCATAACAGGTTAAGTAAAAGTATTGATTAATTAAAATTAAAAACATAAAAAAATCCAAGTCCTGTCTCAAAATTTAAAAAAAGGGAGGAAGGGGCAGGGGTGTCATAAAGAAATCATAAACATAAATTAATAATCAAGAAACTACATATACTATCCACTTTGGCTATATTAACTTTCTTTTCTTTTCTGGTACCAGGAATCAAATTCAGGTCCTTGAGTTTGCAAGGCAGGTGGTGAAACCACTGAACTAAAGCTCCGGCCCCTAATTTTCCGTGTGTGTATGTGTGTATGATATTAATTTTCAATCTCTCTTGCTTCAGTATTCATGAAAATCAGATGCAGACCTGGCAAAGAGAGGTTTCTAAAGTAGCCTATTTCTGTTCTTTTTCTCTTGTTATCTACATTGTGTATTAGGAAATGACCTTTCTTTTTGTCATATGCTGAGCTATATAAAATTGGTTACTTATGTGTATCCCAGCGTCAAATACAAGTGTAGAGAATTACATGGTTTTCTGAAAGCTATCAATGTTAATATTTAAACAAAAAACAGCTGCTTCTTCTTCTTCTTCTTCCTCCTCCTCCTCCTCCTCCC